CTTCGGATCAAAGACAGAAACAGCAACAAAAGAAAACTGCACGCGTCTACCAAGGCTACTACCTTGTACTCGAGTTCGTTTAGGAGTACTTTCACCATTGTCCTCCTTGTTTTCGCAACCATTTTTTTTATCCTCATGTTGACAAGAATATCTGAGCAGTTCTTCCCTGGCCCTACGTTTTTTGTTTTGGGGAAGGTCATCTGGCTCGAACCCTTTGCTCTCTTCCACTCCTCCATGTTTTCCTCCTCTTTCGTCGTCTTCGTCCTCCTTCTTCCTTTTCCCTTTCCTTCGTCTCCGTCACTCCCAAAATAATTACCCTCAATACTATCGTTGTCACAGAGATCCCAACCCATTGGCCCTGGTGGAAGTTGGTCGATCAGTAGCCCATGACGTTTGAACACATCGCGAGTTCGCATCGACAGAAAACGAGCTAGCTCGAAGGTAAACCGTCTCCGAATCCTGTTAGTATGAAACGCTTTCAGGCGAACTAAGGCTCTTTCGTCGTCAAATTTCCTCCGGCAAAAAGCTTCGTGCGCCAAGTGATTGGCGATAGCAACGATGAGTCGATTGGTGCCTTTGCCTAGACCACCATTCGTTGAAAAAGCGGCAGTAAGNCCGGCAAAAAGCTTCGTGCGCCAAGTGGTTGGCGATAGCAACGATGAGTCGATTGGTGCCTTTGCCAAGACCACCATTCGTTGAAAAAGCAGCAGTAAGGAGGGTAGATCTAGACGGGTTGAAAGTTCCCGCATAGTGTTTTGCCTTACTTGCAGCTCGATCTTCGAGGGCGGATCCTGGCTTAAGGATCGACTTGTCGATGCTTCGACCTGCGGATGGGTTGACAATTGTTACGTCTGTAAGAATGGACTTGGTGCAGAGTTCCTCTTCCTTTTTTCCTGCGTGTAATCCTGGAGGGATTACCAAATTTATCTTGTATAGACCCTTTCCGCTACCAGTGCCTGTGGTAAACGGGGAAGAATCCTCAACGGCGATGGGCATATGGCACTCGCGCAGTGTCTTGAGGACCACTCGAACCATCCTGTTATGGAGGAAGGTTGAGGCGCCGGTCTTGGTGCAGACGAGGGAGTGGGCTCGGCTCAAGCGGTCCTTGCATGGTAACAATGCACCTGCACCACAAAGTTTGCCTGTGTTGCAGTCTGCTCGATCGTGACTCCCCAGTACACGACCGATTGACTCTCGATATAGATCAGGCAGCATTCTTTCATCTGCTGACAACCCTTGCGTTGTCAACCACGACAAAGCTCCCTTGCCTTTCGCTTCCTTCAAGCGAATCAATGTCCTCGGCTTTGACATTTCCTCGCCTGCTACCTTCTGCATGTCTGTCTCCACCATGTGACGCACTGCTGCATGAAAAGGTTTTGAAAGGAGAGCATAGGCTCCAAAGACTTGGTAGTGTTGACGAAATTCATTTCGTCTGTAGGTAGACGGTGGTTGATGTTCTACTTCAGGGTTTCCATCTTCACTGGGTTTTCCGCCTTCCCTGCTTCCAACAGGTTAACTCCTTTGCGGGCGGGGGTTAGCTCATCACTTGTGGCAAGTTTAGCCCATGACTGCCCAACAGCTTTTTGAAGCTTGTCTTTGGTGATGATCTCCTCTAGTTTCTT